CWCACACACACATAAACACAATCTGCTGCACYATTATCTATACAGCCATAGTCCGCCCCATGCTATGCTATGCTGCTTTAGTGTGGTGGGCTCAAGTCGAAGTTGGGGTGGTAAGAAGTGATGCGCATCGACGTGCAACGATTTCCAGTTCGCTTCTTAGCTTAGCCTCCTTCACAGTGGAGCTGGCACCCATCATTTTAAACTTCAACAAAGGCCATGCCTCCAGCAAGAATCGCTTCTCTATAGCCGAGAGTCCAGACCCTCGTACGAAGCAAAGTGAAGGACAAGGGTCTGGTTTTTACCAGCTAGTAACTGCAGGACCTGGAGACTGAATTGTCAAAAAATACAATTTGAGCCAAGTTTTAAGACAAAGATTGAAGACAGGTCTGCCTGGAGTAAACTCTCTATGACGGACATGTCTCCCAATCATTTCTACTGTTTTACAGATGGATCCCTTCTAAAGGGGTCATAAGGTGCAGGGATGCTGATTTTGCACAATCATAGTGAGAGAGAGCACACATACCAATTCTCAAGCTTGAGATATATGCAATCCACCAGTGTGTGGCYTCTCTCAAAGACCTTCAGTGTACAAAGAAGGAAATATTCATCCTAACAGATAGAGAAGCTGCTATTAGAGCTCTTCAAGGGCCACAGTTTATGTCATTACTGGTTGGGAGTGTGCCAAAGCAGTCAACCAACRGGGGAGAGATAACAGRGTTACTGTTAAATGGGTACATAATGGCATTAATGGTAATGAGAGAGCTGACTACCTCGCAAAAGCTGGCAGTCAGGTTCACTTCAAAGGACCAGAGCCTGRTGMAAGCACCTCAACAACAGTCTGTAGGACTGCCCTACAGAACTGGATTATACGTCAASACTCAATCAACAGAAGGGAGCTCTTGGACTGTAGACAGGCACYGGATCTGATAAACGGCCCAAATCGTAGGTTTGGGAAAGCTCTCATTAGAAGCACACTGGTTGAAGTCCTAACTGGGCACAACCTGCTCAACCCCCACAAAATGGTGATGGGACTCCATGACAATGGTCTACGTGATGCCMGTATCATTGAACTACAGACCTCTTTGCACTACTTGGGCCAATGCCTGGCTCTGAACACTCCAAGGAAAAGAATTCTTGGAGAAACTTTTARGGATCCAGAGAAGCTCAGAACTCTGACCTGGTGTCCTTCATCTGAGGGACCGATACCAATCCTCATGGGGACTTTACTTCCATTTAATTTCAAGTCCACAGCCTGACCCTGAGCCTTTACCCTAAACCTAACCACCTCTGTACATATCTAACCCTAAACATATTGGTATTGGTGAATTCAATTCAAAATACTTTATTGACCCCAAAGGGAAATTACAGTTCAGAACAACCCAATCAAGAGAGACAAAAACAAACAAACATGAGAAAAAACAGGTGCCCCGGGTCCTGCAGGCTACCTTTAGCAAACAGAAAAGCCAACACAAGGCTAGATGGGGAGAATGGGAATGGGTAAAACCCATGTGAGCAGGGGCCTCGTAAGTGGGCCCATTGCTCTCTCCAAAAAGACACTGAGCTTTAATCACACCATCGTGTTTGATAACTAAACCTAACCTCAATACAACCCTTATCCTAAACCTAGTCCCCAAACCAAAAACAGTGTCCCACCTCAGAACCAATCTTTGGTCCCCATAAGTACTACTMGTCTCAACAAGGAACAGTAGGTACTTAAACAGTCTTAAAAAGATAACAAATACAAGCACACACACGCACACTTTGTCCCATTACATTCATGACAGACTGAAGTTTAGGCGTTTTGATGTAAAGTGTATTTGTAGTTTTGAAGCTGGAGCTGTCACTCACCTGCTGAAATACATTCTCCAGAGAATAATAACACTTATTAATTTCAATGTGGAAACAATTAATGACAGACATCAGAGTGCTGGAGTATTTCAGCTGCTGCTWTGAGAATTAATGAGATTAGGGATGACCCGATCCAGATTTTTTGGCTCCCGATACAATCCAATTTTTTAATGATTAATCTTTCAGATACCGATCTGATACTGATCTGATAGCTTTATTTCTTTCCAAGTGACAAGTTTTGTAGTATTAAAGTATTTAAGCATGATGATGCTGAAAACTGTCGCGAAAACTGGATCAGCCTGATCACATGACTAAATCCGATTCTACCCGATTTTTCAAAAAATGGTCATATCTGCCACCAATACAGAGTATCTGATCGGGACATCCCTAAATGAGAGTATCACATGATACACATCATCACCTCTGGCACAGGCGTGTTAGCATCACGCCAAGGCAGAGATATCAGCTAGGACCACAGAGAAGAATCTGCTGCTGCCCATCAGTTTGGGAAGGGTCAAAGGTCATTTCCAAACTACTTCAAGTCCAGGAGACAGGAGAACTGTTCCCACCTGGACGTCTCTCACCTGATGCAGGACATCCTAACAGCTCTGGAAATCTTCAGCAATTGGAGAGATACACAGCTTTCCT